CCCGAAAAGCCGAAACCCCTCACGAAAGTGGAAAAGAAACTTAAAGGTGGACCATCACAGTTGGGAAAAATGATACTAAAATCGTTCGGCTCCTCGTCGAACAACAGTTATCCACTCTAAACAAGACGGAAAACGAAACGAAACCTCGACAAAAGGCACAAATCGAAGGGTTAGAACGATTTCTTTGATAATTGCGGGACGAGGTACTCCTTCGCTGACTGCAACGCTTGGAGAAGGCCATATTTCTTGCTCGATCGCTTCGAGAAATAATGGCTCACAACGTCGTGGTTTGCTGAGGACAAAAAACAAAATTATCAATTGAACAGGAAATCAATACAGTGGGTCATCGAAGAACGAACGCCCTAAGCAGCAAACTTGAAAAATAAAAAAATAACCCGCACGGCCGCCATTTCGCCTTGGGCAAAGAACGTAACTTGATGAACGAACCTCAAGTCAACGGAAAAATCTATACGGTACAGTTAATTTTTGAAAACAAACAAAATTTACCGCGAAAATGTGCAAAATTCTTACTTTTAAAATCGAGATTTCATTCTCATGCAAAAAGTCCGAGGGAACTTTGAAGACAAATTCGAAACTGAAGTACACCATACGTTAATGCCTACTCTGCTCCCAGTTAACATCCTACAAATCATTTTTGACTCAAAATTATTGGTCGTCATTTTCTTTTCGTATTTTTAGAGCAAAAATCTTTCATTTTAACATATAAATTAATTTGCCTGAAAGGAATTGATTGATTTCCCACAGATTACTAAGGGAAATGATATTGCGTTGTTTTATCTGAGAGAATTATGAAAAGGCAAATTGCATCACAGTATTTCCAACAATTTTCTAAACCTACGATTGTTTCATGTAGTTGTATGATATTTTTGAACAATCGTAGGGCTATTGAGATTCTCACAGTATACAAGTGCGCTATGTTCACCACAATACTGTACTTTAAATCTGAAATTTATAATGTACCGAGCACTGTACATTCACAATAGCTTCTCAAGCATTTTTTTTTCATCACACCGACGGAAACCCGTAAAAAAAAGCCCGCCCATAGACCCAGCCAGCAATTCGATCACATCTGAGCCAGCAGGGACACTTAACAAGAGGATGAAACGAATGGAAAGAATCAAGGGCGAGGAGGTCAATGAACTTCACTAAAACAGGTCCTTCAATCATGTCGTCTACTCCAATATTTTGATCATCCCGTCTGAGGTTCATAAAATACATAACTCACATTAATACTGTGCATGCGTTTAGCTGGAGAGTCCGATGATTCTTATCTCCATTTTTTTTTTTTTTACGACAGGACCCTTTCTCGCGAGTAATTCTCACGAGAACCTCTGATGCATCTTTTAATGAACGTCTGAAGTTGTCCCCTGTTACACAGATGTCGCTTCAATTGCGTTAGGTTTCGTCCAGTAATCATCTCATCAACGCTCAGTCAGCTAAGGTAACATCACGCCAATTTGGGTTCCGTCAGTATTTTTTTTTAGAAAAAAGGACGCGAAACCTTGGCCTTCAAATTGTGAATACAGTCATGAAAGAAATGGAATGAAAAAAGAAAAGGAGCTTCGAACTGACACCATATTCCAGCTCGGACAGACGATTTGAATGACGACATAACCATATTTCAACTTCGGACAAAATGGTCCTGATAAAAGTACGATTTCCCTCCGCCTCGTTTAACCTTATTCTTTCGTGTGGTTGAATAAGGTACAGTACTTCTACTAGACCAAGAGCCTTAGAAATTCAAAAAACTGGTATCTTCGCCGTTTCATTCATAACCCTGATCTCGAAGAGTGAAAAGCTGAATTTATTTCAAGTTCTTTTAGAGCTTTGATAATTCATCCTTTTTTATTGCCTCATTTACAACCAGACTGTAAATTAAAGCTGAATTGTTAAACGGATACTTTGCTGAGAAAACCAGATTGAGTGACAAGATCAGAACCATTACTTTTCTTTTTCTCACAATATTCGACTGGGTCCGAGTTTTTTCGCGAGGTTCATCAAGAATTATACAATGAAACATGAAAAATTGACACGGACGACCGTTAAACAAACTTGAAAATTGTATTCCCGATCAAAACACAAATAATGATTTCTAGTCTTTTTAAAATTCAAATCGAAATTTCGCTTGAGCACTTAATTTATAAGATACGTTTAATAGAAGCAACGCCGTTCATCAATCAAAACGATTTCAAACGAATCAAATGAAAAAATTATAAAGTTAATAATCTACAAATTTGGAAATACAAATTCAGGGGATATTGATTTACTCTCCCACTCTCTCTCTCAAGCTTGGAACGAGGTGATCTCTTCAATCCCAGGAACACAATTCAAGCATGTTAATCAACGTTCACGCACAGGAAAATGCAAAAAAAAACGAAAATAAAATTTAACTCACATAGGAGAGGATGAGCTTCGCCCGCGTCAGCATACGACGGTAATACGTTGTCGTTAGCGGACAACGACACCAGCAGCGCAAATGGCACCAGCCACATGAACAACGTAAAATACGTCAAAATCTCAGACAATGCGAAATATTTGCTTGAAAAGTAGCTAAACGCTACATAATGGTTCCACGCCAACAACACTGGAACGGGGATAAAATCGATTTTATCAATAAATTCATACGAAATGAAGGACGGATTAGACGTCAAATACAGAGTTTTACTCTGAGCAGAAAAGTCCGAGGCAGACGCGTAATTTCCATAATCTCGACACAAAGAATATTTTTGCCGTGATTTGAAAAAAATGAGATTGAAAGTATGTTTTCTTCCAACACATGAGAGTATTCACTCAATTATAAGACGACATCAATAATTAAAACATTTTAATTTTGGTGAAAAAAATATTTTTTTTTTTCAAAATTGAGCGCATGTTGTCCGCGAATGTAAGATTCACTTTCTTTGCACTCAAATTCTCCAGTTTAGTGGAGTTCACCTCTTACGATTTTCCCCTTGAAGTGAAAATGTCATCATGTTCATAAGATCGCGTCGTTCACAAGCATTACCAACAAATCTAAGACATCCCCTGCATTTTCAAAGCGATTTTTCTGTGACAAAAAAACAGAACAAGTGACTTGAAAGTTGTACCCAATTAAATGAGCTAGAATATTGATCGCGTTGATTTTAATTCGCATCACGCAGTTTAAACCGAAAAATACAGTTCAGTTGAGTTTAGTATTTACTTTTTGACCAGCTGTAAATTCAATCCAAAACGTCGAGTGATAATTCGTTTAAAATAAATGGAACCGGTTTGATCAAATTAATCCAAGTATGCATCATCAAGTTTCGATTGATAAAATTCCGAAATCACGGTACCTTCAAAAACTGGACAATGTTCAACACATCGCTAGAACCGCATTATCATTTATTTTTTTCGACTAGCAGAGGTTTTCCAACTTCTTGGGGACATCGTGAAACTTTCGAGACATGCCACAATTTGCTTGCCACCTCTCCAAGACCAAGTAACATTTGCGCATTCTACCTCGATCAAGGACGTAAAAGATTCAAACCGAAATTGACAACCGAACCACAGTTGGATTATATTTGCCATTTAATTTCCTCATTGTACGCTCCTCATCATTTCTCCACACATTTCTCACTCGAATTTCCCGCATTTACAATTTATTCAAAAACCTGACCGTACACAGAAAAGAAAAAAAAATTCTAGCTTCACCACCTGACAAGTACATTCATGCGTACCACCGGTTGAAAAGCCCTGCGTTATAGAAAGTAACCCGAGATTAAAAAGAAGGAAGTTCTCACCAAGCGCTCCGATGAACGGCAACGAAGTGACGTTGACGAGCGGGAACGTTCGCATGATGAGCAAGTGACACACTTGGGCCGCGAATCCGGCCGCGACCATCGATCCCGGAAAGTCCTCGAACACAAACAGCATCACATACGACACGATCGTCATCTGCAAAAAAATTACAAAATGAATAAAATAATACGAAAAAATCCACTAAATTTAACAAAAATCGAAGTCGAGTCACGGGGAATGATTGCACAATTTTCGCCACCCCCCTATAGAAAATGGCGCAATCGAGAACGCGGTTGGTATCGAATTCCCACAGCACTAGCTGAGAATTACAACAAACAAACTCCGGGTTCACGTCTGCGGGATATTGATGTAAGATCATGTTCAACGAGGGGGGGAAAAAAGGTATTTGTTGCAGCATAGCCGTAGAGCTTGTTCACTTCGTTTCGTCGAACCACTTTCTCGTCGTTTGTCAAACTTCTTCATTTGAACCAATGAGTAATGCTTCGACAAATTAAGCAACAACAAAAAATCATGATCAGATCTTGAAACCTCAAAAATCTTGCTTGAACCTTAGAATTTTCTTTGGACCTCCAGTGGAAATAAGAGAATGTGTTCGTGGGTTCGTCAATTTTTTGTTTCCCCTTCTCGGAGACTCGATCGACGGATGGAGTCGAGAGCAATTTTTTTCTATAGTTGATTCTCGATACAATGAATCTCGTTGCAAAGACTCTATTCAGAAGGAATTCATTTTCGAGTCCCGCCTATGCGGGCACAAAAATATTTCAGGCTCATTACAAAATGATTTCCTATTCATTGAATTTTCAGGTTCCAATAGCTTCATTGTAACGAGATTTCATTGCACTTGATATATTCCTGACTAACCTTAAAAAATGTGCTAGAGGCTGAAATGAGTTACACGCTTTTCTGGTAGGTTCCATAAATTCGAACGCCACCCACGTTCAACCAAGCATTACAAATACAGGAAATATAAGCGGAACAGTTTCCGGCAACTGTCTCACATATCACAACCATGTTCACATGGAACACCTCAGCAAATTCAAGAAGAACGAGCTAAATTTGGATGTCGAACTAAAACGTCCATCGACAAGTCATCCGTGCAATCGAAAAAAAAACCGTTTGCAAGATAACAAAGGATTGAAGTGTTATTCATTCCTCACTTGTTTGTGCGAATCGGACTCATAAATTAGGGAATAAAAATAACATTATTTTAAATTAAGGTGTACAAGACTTTCGAAACATTCTTCGTAGACTCAGGACGATCCCAGGAAGTATACATTTGAATAAATTCGAAACACGGATTCCTAATGCTTCAAATATTCGAATACCTAAGGTAATTCTGAAACAGGAAGAAAATCCTCGCGGCCTTCGGGATCAACAGCTGACTCACGTTGAAAAATGTATCATTTCAAAGAACATTGTGTAATATTAACAATAAAAAATATGTATATATATATTCCAACGTATGATGACATTCTCGCTTCGATGAAAATTCCCCTAGAAACCTGATCTCGGAATCTCGGCATTGAACACGGAAGGTATAAAATCACGCGGCCAGGATCTATGCAAATATCGGGAGGGGCAGGAACCATCTTCATTCATTTCCTGTTACGTTTCGAACATCAGAGAAACTGAACACGTCTTCCCAGAAAACACGCTTCAAATCTTGCATTGCATAATGCAACCGCATACTTCATTGAAAAAAAAAAA